CTTTCTTTCTTTCTTTCTTTCTTTCTTTTTTTTTTTTTTTTAACTGGGGTTTGAACTCAGGCCCTTGCAATTGCCAGGCAAGCGCTTATTCTACTGAGCTATCTCCCCGGCCCCAAGGGGGCTATTTTTCACTGGCCACCTATTACACAAGTCTCACTATGTGCCATGCACTGTGGGGCAGGCACCATCAAAGCTGCTGCCCTAGAAGAGTGAACAACCTCGAGAGTCAAAACACCATAAAACGACATGAGTGCCCTAGAGTGGGTGGATGATGGCTCTGAAAGGGTGAGTCCCAGTCCTGATCCCACACCTGGGATCGTAACCTTGTTTGCAACTAAGATCTTTGCAGATATGATCAATTGAAGGATCTCATGATGAGGTCCTCTTGGATTTAAGGCCGGTTGGATGTCCTTGGCAGAGAAAGGCAAAAGGAAAGATGAGATATGCACATGAAGGAGCAGGCCACGTGAAGAGGAGCAGAGACAGGAGTGATGTATTTCCAACCCAGCGACACCACGGACCAACAGTCACTACTGGACAGAGGCTAGGACCAATTGTCCCCCTTGGGTCTCCAGAAGGAACCCCATTGCATCCCCTTGATGTTGGACTTCTGGCCTCCAGAGTGAGAGAGAATAAATTCTGGTTGTTTAAAGCCTGAAGGTTGTGCCACTCATGATAGCAGCCCCAAGTGGGCCTGATGTCATGTTCTCAACAGGCCCATAAGACACAAGGGTGTACAGGGGTTTTGAATATTTTCACCATGGGTGAGAAAAATCAGGGAAGCCCTTTCTTTTGAAATGTTAAAACGGAAACGCTGAAGTGGCAGATGAATCTAGGATCTGCTGAGAGAACATTTGATTCTGCAAGGAAGCATTTATTCTGGACACTGGAGGAGGCCAAAGTGGGCAGGATCAGTTCTGTCTAAAATGCCTTCTCTGAGGTGCGGAGGATGAGTAACTTGCCTGCCATCAGCGAAGGGTCTCTGCGAACAGACTTCCCTACAGATGCCACCTGGGAAGGCTGTGCGTGGGACCCTTGGCCTTTACTCTGTCCATGCTTAGGTCATCTCTGCAGTCCCAGGCTGCATCCTCCTCCGGATCTGCCCCTCCTCTCCAAGTGCATGGCAGGAGTTTCCCTGCAGCTGGCAATGCTAAACTCTAGAGCCATGAAGCCTGGACAAAAAAGCAGCGAGGAAGACCCTTCACTCTGGGCAAGGGGACCCATTCTGCTGGAGGTAAGTATCTAGGGAGCCCTTTTTTCTCTCTGGCTAATCTTTTCAGGCAGGGTTCTGGGGCCAGCCTGGATGGGCAGCTCTCCCACAAGGTGGAAGCATGCTTGCTCCATGGGAGGCAGTTAGATATGCTCAGGGGAGGGCACGGGCATTGTCTCAGAGTGAGATGGTTTCGGTTCTAGGGTTGGCTTGCTCACATAAAATCATACAGGAAGTATGATTTTGAAAAAGTATAGAAGTAAGAAGCTGAGGAAGCTCTGCCTGCACGCCCTGGCCTCACTGTTCCCATGCACGGCACTGCTCGCCAGCACCTGTAACTCCCTGAGGAAGGTTTTCCTGGCATCTAGAAGGAGCCTGCACTGAAGAATTTGAACTACTGGGAAAACACATGAACAGTTCCACCCTGGGGACAGGGATACAATGCCTAACTGCGTTCATTGCTTCACCAGGACCCAAGAAGGACAAGGCCTCCAGGTCCCTGCTGCCATGCTCACTGACACCTGGTTCTGGCACCTCACCCTCCCAGCTTGATTCTCTGGGCCCCCAGGGCCTAGGCATTCCCTTCACTGTAACTCTACCCTGTTCTTGCCTTGAGCTCTTTTCCAGAGAAGCCAGTTCCAAGGCCCCATCACTCCTCAGGTCCTTCCTTGGTAAGAGGGAGCCAGCCACATCTGGAGGCAGAGGCCTTGCTGTGTAACCCATAACTCTCAGTGGGTTTTCCGTTTTAATGTATTTGGTTATTGCAGGCTCTCAGTATGCAGCTCGGACTCATGGTGATCCTCCTGCTTTCAACCTCCCCAGAGATGGGATTACAGGCATGCACCACTTCACCCAAACTCTAGCTGGCTCACCCCACCCCAGGGTGGGGCTGGAATGGCATGTGGTTCCTGGGATAGAACTGTACTCCCAGCACTTGCCTTAGCTTGCCTATGCAGGTGCTTTAGTCTGCTGAGCTCTCTCACTGGCTCCAGTGTCAGCTGTTTTCACCAGCCTGAATTAGCCAGCTCTCTCAGAGAATGGCACAGACAATGGTAAGCATGCACGCAGGCCCGGGGACAGACAGCACCTGGCCCTTCTTGCCATATACCCAACCCGCGACCCTGCTGATACTAAAGGATGGTGCAGAGCAGGTGTGCATGTGGAAAAGAAGTAAGTGGCTCAGTCCCAGTGGTTCAGTCCCCAGAGCATTGATTCAGGACCCACACTACTCAAGTCCTTCATCCCTCCCCTGGGAGGCTTTCTCCTCAGTCTTCAGGCACACTTTGCACTGGTGCCAGTTTACTAACTCACAATCACGAATCTCTAGACAGCGCAGATGGAAAGAAGTCTTTGAACAAATAAAATCAACAAAGCAATTTCTTTGGAGCTGCAGAAGGGACATGGAGGGGAGTACAGATTTTCCCTTTGGGCCCTTGAAAAGCTCCCAAAGCAGGTAAATTCATCATCTGGTTGTAACAGGAAACTGGTGTTCACCACTGGTCCAGATAGTTCCCAAAGGAACAGAAGCAGAAGGTGCTCACCCCAACCCCAGCCTGGGGAATGCACAAGGAGAAGGTTCTCACTCCATAGGGGGCGCTGTTTGTAGTACAAATAATTCATCAGAATGGATGAGTGGTCACTAACTAGATTTGCCTGCTCAACATGTATCTCTTATAATAAAAAAGCTTTCAGTTTTTAATAAGGTGTTTGCATCCAGATAGGAAAGCTAATTATAGCTCCAAAATGAAGACACATAACCACATTCTCCCAGAGCTGGGTTCTAATATCAGTTTCAGGTGACCTGGCACGGGAGCTTTGTCTTTTGCAGGAGGGTTTGGTGGCCAATCCTTTTTGTCCAAAAGAAGGAAGGGCTGTGAGTTGCAGGGTGGGGCTCAAGCAGAAGTAGTGTTGAGCCTCTACTTCATCCAGAGAGCAGGTAAAGGACACAGAGTGGCCTCCCACTTGGCTGCGCAGGTCCCAGTCAAGGTTTCCAGTTGATAACCATATGAGATACCCTGGAGCTCAAGACTGTGGCAGGCAGCTTAGAGAGCTATGTACTCTCAGGACCCTGCATCCCGGGGGCAGGCACATCATCCCCATTGTTGTCCATAGGGCCTGCACCGGAGACTGATCAGTACCCTTCCCCAACATCCTTCTTGGCCACTAGTGTTTCAGACCTCAAGCCAAGTCTGTCCCACTGATTGCACTGCCCTCTGGTAACCAGGAGGCAGTAGGAAGACAGTCTTGGGCATTCTAAGTGCTCAGTTCATTTTCTAAATCACTTTGCTGACTTGAACCCATCCATCTCTATAATGTACTCGGAGGTGCTGACGCAGCCATGGTGGAAGTCTGGAGCTCACAGCAATTAAGTGCTTTGCCCTGGCTCACAGGAGGGGTAGACATCAGCACCAGCACGGCCTTTGGGAGGCCTGATGCTCCCTGAGGGTTGCGGGATGATGCAAGCCAGCATCTACCTCTGCATCTTCCCATGATTCTCACACAGTACAGGGACCAGCCAGAGTCAGTGAATGCAAGACACACACCAGACAATAAAGAAGGACAGCCAAACAGTAGAGTTTTGCTCACTCCCAGCACCCAAAATGGGGCAAAGGCACAGACAATGAGAGACAGACTCCTTCCCGCCACTTCTCAGCCCCGCTCCAACCCCTTCGGATCAATGATGCCATCCTTGAAAGCTCACCACTGTTGGTCCAGTAGGACTGTTCCCCGCTGCAGGTCCTGTGGAAGCCCGGGGCTGGAGGGACCAGGCCAGTGGGCTCGTCCAAGGTGCAAGACTGGGCCCAGCCAATGGCTGGGCGGTGGGCACGGGGAGGAGCCCCAGACACTGCCCTCCTGGCTGGCACAAGGGGTACTAAAAATGGGAATGTCATCAGCACCACTGCTCGGAAAGCTAAGTGGAGCAATGAGAGGGGAGGGGAGAGGATGCGTGGTTCTTTTTCTGATTCCATCACCATCCCTAATCTATGTGGAAGCGTGGACCTCATGATCCTTTCCAGGGAACACACAAACAACATGCCAGTTAAACTGACTCACCGATGGAACCACACTGCTCAGAAGCTATCCCTTGACATTTAGCAAGTTTCCCCACTTAAGTTTCCTACTTTCTTAGATTTTTGGAAGATTTTATTTAGTTTTTTAGAGCAGTTGTAGGATCACAGCAAAACCAAGAGGAAGGTTCAGAGGTACCTTCCCAACCCCCACATGCACAGCTTTTCCTCATGGTCAATGTATTGTACAAGAGCAGTACATGAGTCCCAACTAATGGCTCTAACACCTGACCCAAAGCCCATGGTTGACATTAGGATCCACTGCTGGGTTGGGCATTCTACGGGTTTGGGGAAAGTCATAAGAATACATGTCAATTTCTATCAGTATTTGGGGAAATCAGAGATCCAAGTCAGAGTTCCCTAGTTCCAACTCCCAACATAAATAAAACATTTCCTGTTCCTTTTCCCGCCCTCCCACATCCATTACACTCATGTGGAGGGAAGACTTACCATGGGACCTTTCAGAAGACACAAGAGCCTCGCCCTCCCAGGAAGCAGGGGTCATATTCTGGACCATTGCCCAGTTTTCGGGGTCTTTTTTTTTTACCCCTTCCTGCCATAAGTTAACAAAACAGGACCAGAGGCAGAAGGGTGCTTGTGCCAAACTCTATGGAGCTAGTTAATGGTGGGCTCGGTACCAATCTCAGAGGAGTCTAGAAAGCTGGTGAGCATATCCTGAGCTGAACCGGATGCTGCTGTCGTTTCCCCGCGTGTTTACTCACCGATGTCTGTCTCCTTGTGGTTTTTGATGTATTCTGCCAGCTCAAAGTTGCCTGCTATGATCGCCACCTGCAGATGAGAAATTACATGAAAATGAAGCGTCGGCTGCATAGTACGGAAGTGGGTCTCTGCAGCCTCTACATCGCTGGAGGCCTTGTGCTAGGGTCCAGTCACAGATCTGTGAAAGGCAGCCATGAGGTCTAGCAACTCACACCGCTCCACTTTGGCATGGTGATGCACCCAGAGTACCCGTTCTATCTACAGAACCCAAATGAGCCAGGGCTCTGTCCAGGGGCATCAGGGGAAAGCCTTTGAACAGCAGCAAAGAGTTCTACAAGGTCAGAGCCTGGAAACGCCACCCCACCCCTACATCCCACCTTCCGAGAAGCCTTGCCCGGGTCCCACGCTTACATTCAGGAGTCTTTCTTTCTATTAAGACAAAGCCAGTCCCTATAATGGACAGAAGGTACAACCTTGAGGGGGCATTTAAAGCTCATCAGATTTCAGTTCAGAGTAGAGCATTTTGCCCACAAGAGTGGGCACAGCCAGTAAGTGGCACCAGAAACAGCACCTACAAAAACCATCCCAATGTGCCCTGCAGACCAAAGATGCTCTATGGTGTTTGACATATGGGAAGATACAGGTGAGTGAAGCCACGTGCCCTGGGGATGCCCCAAACCAGAGATGGGGTTCACGATACCCCAGAGAGGAGTCGCTGGGCTGCCAGCCAGCATGTGTGCACCAACAGCACTGAGCTCATAGTACCAACCAGGGGGGGGGGATGTCAAACACATCTGCAGGGAGTTCACATAAGGTGACAGTGTGGCTGGGACCAGCTAATCAGCCGAAGGCCATGAAAGCCAGACCCAAAGCTCTCTGGAGAAGCAGCCTTCCTCAGACGGCAGCGCCCACACCTACCCCACAGATTTCAGGCCCATCAGTCCTGCACTCACTCAGGTGAGCCCACACCTTACAGTAAATGTCTTCCTGTTACATACACACGCGCGCACACACACACACACACACACACACACACAATTTGGCTAGGATATGTTATACTGTAACAAAGTCATCACAATATTCTAAATCAAGAATGTATTGAATGGCTGGCAATACAGCTCAGCAGCACAGCACCTTCAAAGTCCTGAGTTTGAGTCCTGACAGACCAGAAAGCAACAAAAATAAGAAAGCACTTAATGCCGTCTCCAGCGAGCATCTCAGCCCATGAGCTCGAGCGCACCCTGCAGGTGTCAGTGGCTCTTGCTCATGACCCCTGGGATCACTGTCCAACTTTGCCAGAGAACAGTGCCCTACAGGCGGCTCACCCAAGAAAAGGCCTAGACTAATCAGAAGTACAGTTTGTGTTGAATGCATGTTGCTTTCATACCATCATAAAACTGAAGAATCTTCAACTGAGCAATTATAAGTTAAGGACCATTTCTCTCTCTCTCCCTGGGCGCTGCATTGTGCACCTAGTGATGGCTAATACAGTGAGGCTTCCCTTATATGCATCTTCACACATTAAAAAAAAAAAAAAAGACAAAATTCAAGCTGTGCAGAGCAGCGGGTAAGAAAGCCACAGGAGATCTGGCTGGGGATATGCCCTGAGGGGGTCCACAGGGGTTGGGAGGTGAATTAGACCAGCTGAACTGAGGGCAGAGGAGGACTCAGCAGTGCAGGTGGTGTCCTTGCCCTGCCTTCCAGTGCCCTAAGCATGGCACCTCCCCTCTTGGGATCTGCCTCTACACTGTGCTTCTTGTGGCCACACCCAGTTACAGCACCCCACGCTCCTACCTGGGTTTTCCATGAGGTCTGTGATGGGGGACCTTTTGCTGATGCTGACAGGTCCCTCTTGGGACAGATCAAGACCACAGTGTAGAGAACAAGGGCAAATAGGACCTGATGGCTGGGGCCTAGGGGGCTCTGCCCTTGACATTCAGAGACAACAGAGGATGCAGGGACGTTAGCATTAGCCAGGGGCCACACCTCCTCTGACAGAAGTGCTTCTCTTGCCCATGTCGAATCCCTGGAGTGAGACTCCAAAGAGAGCCCAGCTCACACTTTGCAGAACCAACTAGCAGGCAGTGGTGGTGATGGGGTTAGCCTGTTTTTAGAACTCAAAAAATTGACAGTTGGGTTCTCCTTGGCACCTCACAGGCTTAGACTTACCAGTAATTTAATCTCATGGTCTGTAAGGCACAGCATCAGAATTGGTACTAGGACGATCTATTAGGAGCGAGGATGGTGGGAAGATGCTTGTGCTGAAGGCCGGACAGTGGCGAGGCAGGGTGGCCTTGGCTTCGCTGGGGACAGGCCAACAGAGGCTGTGCCTTGTGGAGAAGTGGCCGTGGCCTAGGCCCGGCCACGCACACTGTCCTCATCCCTCTTGGGGACAGAAGCCTCGGCTCTGAGACCTCTGTCGTGTATCTCTTCACCTCAGTACTGGAGTATCACAGCGTCCACAGGGCTTGGAGGGAATGTAGGGGACACGCCTGCCTACACCCCTGCATCCCGCCCTGGATAGTCTTCCTCCTACACTGAAGGTGGCACTACAGTACTCTGCCAGGTATGTACCGACCCATCCCACCCTCCCCAGTTCCCGTCTCCATGTCTGGAACCCGGGTTTCTTTCAGTCTTCTGACCTGATCTACATGAGATGGTCCTGATAGCCTTCAGTCCCTGCACCCACCCCATCAAGCAGACCTTAGGTTTTCAGGGGCTCCCACTGGCCCAGTTATCTTCCCCTGACCCAGCGCCCCTGGTGCAGCATCTCCCACAGGCCCAGGAACAAACAACTCAAGAGCTAGGCAATGCTCAGAGCCAGCACCACCACGGCAGGCCTGAAGAATACACAGGTCTTGTGGTAAAGGCCCTGGGTACACAGGGACCCGGAGTATTCAGGGGTGCCCTGGAAGGACGGGGGGGGGGTATGAATATGGCAGGAAGGTCCCCACAGGTAGTGACAGCTGCCACCTCCCACCCGCATCAGGCACTGCCTGCCGTCTTCTCTGGTGCTGTCAACACACCGGCTCTGTGCTGCGCACTGCATTCTGGTACAAACCCCAGTGCACCCCTTGGATTCCTACCCCCGAGGAATGCCGTCCTGCTTATGAAGGCTGAGCCTTGACCTTGAATTTCCAGTCTCCAAAAGTGTGAGAAACAAATTTCTGTAGTTCCTAAGCAGCCTGGGATATGGTGTTTGGTTACAGCAAAATAAACCAAGACCACATCCACCTTGTCCCATCTGTCACTTGGGAACAAACAGCGCTCAGCAAGGCACTAAAACAGCCAGCTCTCCTGCCCGGTTGGGTGCTACAGCACACATGGGCATCTTCACAGCAATAAGGGTGCCAAGGAATGGGACTGTGTACCCTCTGGATGCACGTCCCGGGACCATAGTGTCCTGGCAGTGACAGTGTCCTGGCAGTGACAGTGCCCTGACATCACACTTTGCTCACCCTGCTCTGACGCTGAGCTAGACCCAGGGTGAGGGCACAAGCCACCTCCCCCCTCACTGACTGCTCAACAGTCTCCTGGCATCCACAGCCAGAGTGCGGGGGAACCCGCTGCCAGCCCCAAGGAAGTCTCCTCCTCTTGCCAAAGTGCAATATGCTTCCGACAGCAAGAGCTATTTATAGGTGCCTCTGTGATTCCCCACACTGCCTTGCCAACACTGGGGATAGCTCCTCACAGAGACACCAGGGGAGCTACAGCGATGCCATCCCCATCTCCTTTGTCTTTGGCTTTCCTTTTGGGTGGCACAGTGTAACCTGGGCCAGACACCTATGCTAGAAAGCAACTGGTGCTCAAGGTCTAGAAGCCTGGTCAGGTAGTTTGAGGCATGAGCATCTCAGCTACTCCAGGACATGTTGGGGAGACCCAGGGCGTGGCTGGGTGAAGTCAAGGTTGCTGGTCTCTACAGACACTCTCTAAGGGAGTCTCTGCCCAGCCCTGGGTTCAAGTGGGGTATCTGGAGAGGCATGAGTGAGCCAGTGATGATCCTGCAGGTTCCAACAGGAACAGCGTCCTGGGCTTCAAAAAATTATTCAAGGGGCTTGAGAGCCTTTGAAAGTCAATGCATATGACCCAGGGGTGCCTGACTTTCTTGGGGACCCTACAGCAATATGGTGGCGTTTCTTAGACAGAGCCCCTGTTGGGCAGCAGGGGCAAATGACACTCACACCTCCAGGAAGTGTTGTCTCACGATTCTGAGGACCAGGGAACAGTTAGAGATGCAGCACAGCAAGGACTCACGAGGTTATCCCAAAGTAGGTCCATAGTCAGCGGCCCCTGGCTTTCCCTTGAAAGAGGGCCTAAGCAATCACATAAAGACTTGCCCAGACAAGACCCTTTGAGGGTGTCTGGCAGTGGGACAAAGTGTCCCCATGGCACCAAAAGTCAGGCAGATGCAGTCCTTTATGCCTCACTCACAGTGAGGAGCAAGAAGTTGAAACGGTCTCCCCCTGGTGGCACACAGCAGCAGGGAGCGGCCAGAGCTAAGGCACCTGATGGCCAGAAAGAGGTGGTTCTGTCCCTGAGACCTCAGGTAGGCTACCTCACCTCTGTACCTAGGAATAATTTTGCCAGCCTGACTCTGCTATGACTATCGTTGAGGATTAAAATAGCTAACGTGGGCCAACGGCTTAAAGCCACGTCATTCAATATTAACAAAGCACCTGATATGAGCAAGCTAAGTACAAAAACTTCATGGTATATGGAGATGATATCATTGGGAGGTGGGTTTATTTGAGGAATAAAAGGTAATCAATACAGTTCCTCTCAATAAAAAAGGGGGAAGTAATATAATTATCTTTGATAGTTGCAGCATCTGATCAATTGAGACATTTTATCAAAGGTATCAGATATAATGATACCGAGTTTGATACCCAGTACCACATGCCCTGCTGGCCCTGAAACTGGGTGTGGTGGCACATGCCTATAATCCTAGCACTGGGGAGGCTGAGACAGGAGAATCACTACAAATCCTATGGAGTGAGACCCTGTATCCAAAGAATGTAATAAATTTAATAGAAACAAATTAAATGAACTTAGCCTGCTATTGCATCGAT